TTTTCCTTTACGGCCACTTGGAGCCTCTGTGATGTGCGGGCGAGTCAGACCCTTTAAACAATTCCAACGCAACGGGAGACAAGCTCGGGTAGGGGTCCGAGGTGCGGGGAACGCCGGGAGGGGACACGAGTGTGTCTTCGCGGAGCCAGGGGCGCCGAGGCGTCCGGGGTGCCCTCGAAGGCGAAAGAGAGGGAGGGAGGGAGTCTGGACCGCGGCCCGCGCCCGCTGTGGCTAAGAATGCCCGAGGGTAGGTCGGAGCTGAGCCGGCAAGGGAGGTCAGGTGTGGGGGATGCCCTGCAGGTCAGGTGTGGCGGGCGCCCTGCAGGTCAGGTGTAGGGGATGCCTTCCTTGCCAAGTTCAGGAATGGTGAGCCGCGCAAGGTTCGTTTTGTTTAAGCGGGTAGGAGATTATACGTAGATGTCTGTTCTATTAGTAACATTTGAGCGTCTTCCATTGCCAGGCACTGTCCTAATTACCTTATCTGTACTAACTCATATGACCCTCGGAATAATCCAGTGAGGTGGGTACTGTTATCTCCTTTTCATGAATGGGAAAGGGAGGCACAGAGAAGTAAAGTAATGCTCCCCTGGGCGCAGAGCAGATAGGGACTGGAAGCAGGGTTCAAACACAGGGATTCTGATTCCAGAGCCCTTACCCACAGTTAACCCTTTATGAGGCTGGGTTGCTTGTGATTTGGTCGAGAGAGAGAGAGAGAGAGAGAGAGAGAGAGAGAGAGAGAGAGAGAGAGATGTTGAAAGCAACTTAAAAACCTACCTCACACTCTCCAAAGGGTACCAAAAGAAGAATACACACAAAATGCATCGAAGTTCCTAAAATTTCTTCATCTCTTTCAATTTCTCTCCTATGTCTACCTCAACCCCCTTCCTCAACTCCTCAAACCTAAGCATGTCTCTCCACCTTCTCATCCATCTTAACTTTCTTTTGAGGGGTAATTCTCTACCTTTTTAAAAGGAATTCTCACTATTCTTTCCAATTGCTTCTCAAGTTCTTCCTCTCCCTGTACCCTGGTTTCAAATACGGTCAAAGAGAATTTGGGTAGAGAGGGGAAAGATGGCTGAGCACAAAGAAAGGAGGCTATGAATACTTATGTATTAATATTCTCTGTCACATACATAACATGGGCTCTTAAATGTTTTGGTTATAAAGTTTTTATGTATCAAATAAAACTGGAGAAGTTGGGATAAAACAATGAGTTTTTCATAAAACTTAAAATGTTTAAAGGACTATACTGTTGAAATGCCCTAACTTTTATGAACAGTGCTGTAAGTAGGTGGTAGTTTTTTTTTTTTAATGTCCTTATAGCAAAAGAAAAATTACAATTAAAAAATTGCAACTCCAATATTGATATTCAAATTAAAAACAAAACTGGTCTATGATGTTTAAAAGTCTAAAAATCCCTGAACTAGGAGAAAGATGAAGGCAAAAGAGTCTTAAAAGAGATTACAAGTTATAAGGGGTACTTTAGGTAAGGAGCTGCAGGACAATGGAGGAAATATGTATCAGTTTTCTAGGGCTGTTGTAACAAAGTACCGCAAACCAAGTGGTTTAAAACAAATTTGTTGTCTCACAGTTATAGATGCTAAAAATCCAAAATCAAGGTGTCAGCAGGGCCATGATTCCTCTGAAATCCGTAGGGCAGAATGCTTCCTTGCCTCTTTCTAGCTTCTGGTATTCTTTGGATTGTAGCTGCATCCCTCCAGTCTCTGCCTCCATCATCACATGGTATTGTCCCTGTGTGTCTGTGTCTCTTCTCATAAATTCAAAAGTCATATTGAATTAAGGCCCATCCTAATGACCTCATCTCAACCTGATCACATCTGCAAAGACCTTATATTCAAATAAGGTCACATTCCCAGGTATTGGGTGTTAGGACTTCAACACGCCTTTGGGGAAGACACAATTCAATCCATGACTAAGTGCTTAATCCAGTGGGAAAGATATTTAACCAGAGCATCTTTGACTCAACTCTGCTTAAGTGAGGAGCCTCGACTAGGTTCCCAATTCTCAAGAAAGCTACGTTCGATCTCAGAAACTACAGAAGAATGCAGAAAGGAAAAAGTGAGGCAGAAAAGCTCCCAGGAGAAGCCAACATTTAAGAGGCAAAGACAGAAGGAGGGAGGCACCATGAAGGAAGTAGAGAATGAGGAGCCAGAGAGGTCAAAAGGGAACTGGGTGAGCGTGATATTAAAGAAGGGGGTTTCACAGAGGCGGAAGTGGTTATGAAAGCCAAAAGCCATAGAGAGGTCAGAGAAGAAAGAGATGAAGTGTCTATTTGATTTGCAAATTAGAAGGTTATTATTGGCCTAGATTAAAATACTCAGTGGAGTGGGAGGAGGACAGGCAGAGAAGATCGAAGAATGAATAACAAGCAAGGAAGTGCAAATACCATGTACAGACCACTTTTTTCAAGAGACTGCCCATGAAAGGAAAGAAAAAAACAGTGACTAGAGGGGAGAAATGGGAACAGGGCAAGCTGTTCTCATTATTTTGCATAAATGAGACTTGAGCCCTGAAGAAGGATCCAATTAAAAAGGAAAGATTGAAGAAACCATCGAGCAGTTTGAGCAGTGCTTACCTTGCTGTCATATAACTTACTGTACTGAGTGAGTATCTTTTCTTGGCAAATTGGCATATTCCTTTCTAAATCTGGGTCAGCCTCCATATTTTATCCTTTGCACTTTCAATGTCATGAAACATCTTTGAGAGTTCCTTTAATGTGAATTTTTTGTCGCCTGTGTCACTTCCTCCGGAACATCTTCATCCTTTTTGTTACAATGGTTTTCCTCATTTATGTTCGTAACTTCACTAAATTTTTCTGACTGCATATCTAGAGTTGGAGAGTAACAGCATCATCCCACGGCCAGCTGTTTCTTCTCTACCTCTGTTTACCTTTGATTTGAACTTCGCTTCCACCATTATCACTTTTTGTTTCTTTGCTACACTTTTATCTTTGTTGGCCAATTCTATTATCCATCTTTATAAATACCACTGGGAATTAAGGGAGCAACACAACTACATGCTTTGTTGTGTGTACATAAACTGAATAACAGATTCCAGTGACCAGTGAACAACCAGACACACAGTCAAAGAAGTGACATAAACGGTCATCGATCATAATGTGGATCTGTTATTTGCATAGCAATTTTGTGGACTGAAAAGCTAGCAGCAAAGTCTGTAATTATGCAATTACAGTTAACGTACTGTGGTATCATCAGATATGAACTGTGTTGTTGGAAGGGCTGATGTTATTAAACTAAACCGTGGTAACTGAAATTTGTGCTATTGCCAACCAAAGCAAGCACAGTGCTATACTTATGCAATGCTTGGCGTGTCGTTAGCATTTAGTAAGTAGTAAATTGTTTTACTTCTATCATCATTTTCATTATATTACCTACTGTTTCTATTCCTTTTCCTGAGCTATAAGTCACTGAGGTATCAGCCTCAGAGGGAGAGGCTGGTGCTGGGAGGTGCTGGTATGTTTTCAGCCAAGAGTGTAAATTGCCATGTCGGAGGAATACCTTAATCTCAGTTGAGGACTAAGGCCAAGGGCTTGTTGGCAGAGGTGTGAGAAGGAGTTTGGGGGCGTGTCAGCAGGTAGGCTGAACTCAACAGCAGAGAACGCTGGCAGGCACTATTTCTGAGATGAAAGAAGCAGATGGTGTCTGAGAGGTCTGTTCACAGATCACAGGGCTCTGGCGGTGGGTCTTGGCGAGAGCTGCAGCCAAGGCATGGAGAGAGCAGCTGCAAGAGCAAGGCAGAATTCTAGGCCAGGTAGAGCCTCCACCAGTCACCAGAACAGGAAATTGGCACAAGAGCCGAGGAAGAAAAGCAGTCATCTCGTGTGGGAGAGCGGGAACCCAGGTGCAAAGCGGAGAGTGCAGGAGCAATTGCTGCCGCTCAGGGGGTAGCGGAGAAGAGCCCAGGGCACCTAAGCTCCAGACAAGCACCACCAGGCAGAACAGGGAATGGAGGCTCCTGAGGTTGTATCCGCTGCCCCACGTGGGTGATCTGGGAGCCTAGCCCTGAGAGACAGAAGCAATAAATAGAGGCTTGTTACGCTGACCCAGTTGGTGATTCACTGCTATGACAGAATGTCCTTCCTCACCTTTATCAGCCTTAGTAGATTTTTATCTGAGCCCTTATCTACAAAGTGATATATTCAGCAAGGTCAGCTCATTGGATAAGAAGAAATGATGAACATTTGGTTTTCAACTAATAAGAAATAAACATGGAATAATAATAACTCAGGTATAATTGTGTTGACTAATGATACCACAAATTTAAAATGCATGTGAGATGCATATGGATCACACAGGACTGCATTCAGGCATAAAACTAAAATCTGACCAAAATGACTTAAGCATACGAGGGTTTATTTTCCTCACATAGCAAGAAGTTCCACAAATACTTAATTCAGAGCTGCTATGGTAACTCCCAGTGCCATCGGGGACTTAGGTTCCTCCTGTGTTCTTGCTCCCCCTTCTTAACATGTGCTGAATCACACAACACCGGGGGACCCTAGTCACACCGTGTAAGGATATTTTTCATTTGCATATACAGATCTATCCTCTACTCTTCAACCTGTTCAGGGCCCTGGGAGGTGGACCTAAATGGATTCCATCACTTGAGCTCCCTTGCCCTCTGACTTCAGTTAATTTTGGTCCATGGGAGGCACCACAAACAGGAGATTGTAAGGTCAGGGGAATTAGCCCCCTAGTCCCTTTTGTGGGGGTCAACAAGGCTGCTCTTGTTGGGCAGTTCTGTCCATACAGCTACTTTCTCCCAGTCCTACTAACTACTCCCTTCCTTTGTCCTTCGGGGCTGGAGGTGGGAATGACTCCCTGCAATTGTTAACCCCAGACTGCTATGCCATCGTAACCATGTTTCCCTAACACTGACTACACCTTTCCTTTTCTTTAATTTTTAATTTTTGAAGTTTATTGGGGTAACATTAATACAATTATATAATTTTCGGGTGTACATTATAATTTGACATCTATATATTCTATTGTGTGATTACCAAAGTCCAGTTTCCTTCAGCTACCATATATTTGATCCCTTTTACCCACTTCACCCTCCCCCTATCCCCCTATATTTGACCTCCTTTAACTGTCTGCTACTCCCACCTCCCTCCCCCCCTGCCCTCTGGTAACCACTAGTCTATAGTCCATGTCTCTGAGTCTCTGTTTGTCCTGTTCATTTGTTGCTTTTAAGTTTATATCCCACATATAAGTGATATCATGTGGTTTTCAACTTTTTCTGTCTGGCTTATTTCGCTTAGCATGATTATCTCGAGGTCCATCTATGTTGTCGCAAATTTCATCTCTTCTTATGGCTGAATAATATTCCATTGTATGTATGTACCACAGCTTCTTTATCCAGTTATCTATTGTAGGACACTTCGGTTGCTTCTATGTCCTGGCCACTATGAATAATGCTGCTATGAACATCGGTGTGCATATCTTTTCGGATATGGGTTTTCAAGTCTTTGGGGGTAAATACCCAGTAGAGAGATTGCTGGATCATATGGTAGATCCATTCTTAGTTTTTTGAGGAACCTCCATACTGTTTTCCATAGTGGCTGTACCAATTTGCAGTCCCACCAGCAGTGTATGAGGGTTCCTTTTTCTCTGCATCCTCTCCAACATTTGTTATTACTTGTCTTGTTGATTATAGCTATTCTAACAGGCTGACTACACCTTTTCAAATTGTGCCTTTTTCAGAATCTCCACCATTAGCCCACTGGAGTGAGCTGTCTGTGTCCTGCCAGGACCCTGACTGATTCAACACTGCAGCCTCTATACACAGCTGCTGTGACCGGATGTGGCAGCACCACCCTGAGGACCTTTTATGCTCAGAGCTGCAAGATGCTACTCCACCTCCAGGAGTTAAGGTTGCATTTCAGACAGGAAAAACGGGCAAAAGGCACCAAAGAGTTCTTTGCCAGGAAAATGTAGCTTTCTAGGAAGTCGCAGACAGCTGACTTTGCTTCCATGTCATTCTAGCGCAGGGCAGGACGTCTGGGAAGGTATTTTTAACTGGGCACATTGCTGCCCCAAATGATAGTGTTTCTATTTGAAGGGAAGAAGCAGAAAGGGTTATTAAGTAGGCTACCAGCAGTGTTTGTAACATCATATAACTCACTTGGACTTTTTTTTTTTAAAATACATTATGGATACATTTCCTTTCCCTAGTTTCATATCTTGGGCTTCTCCATGTAACGATAATAATAACATCCATGTACTGAGCCCTTACTGAATGCTTTACATGCATGATGCCTTTTAACTCGCATTCATTCTATGAGGCTTCCTTGCTTTATAGATGAGGAAACAACTGAGATTTTTAGTAATGTGTACGTATGAGGCTTAAGCTAACACCTAGGTCTCTCTGTCTCCAGAGCCCATGCTGGTAGCCTCTGCACTTTGATCAGAGTGTCCCCATATATTCTCTATCTGTTTCCTTCATTTCTTCCCCAGGGAGAATCTATACATACAGTGTGGAAATCTAGGTCATGGATAATAAGCCTCTTGTATCCTCAGAACACAGCCCAGGGGAAATAAAGGAGAAAGTATCTGAAGTCGAGACAGTAGGGGGTCAGAGAGAACAGTGTACAAAGAGCAATGACCAGAGAGATTTGGGTCCATATAGAAGCTAATATGAAGAGCAAGCAGCGTCTATGAAAATCACATAACCATGTAATTATTATTTCAATTCTGAGTCCCCCTCTTGAGTGCTTTGGTTGTCATACTCTCTGAATCTACTGGGTGAGGCACATTCTGCTAGTGGATGAGAGATGCAGAGGAGAAGAAAACACCATCTTTGGAGGAAACTGGAATGAGCAGGAGTCCATTTGGAGTGCTTTCTGCCATGATGCCTTGGGACATGTCTGAGGGACATGTTTTCCTGCCGTTTCTGAGAGCTCATCATTCTGGAAGGGCAGTGGCAAACCCTGCAGTAGGGAATGTCATTTTTGCTCATGTGGGTGCAGTGCGGACTGGAACAAGAGTATATGGAGCACCAGTGAGGAAACTGGAATGAGCAGGAGTCCATTTGGAGTGCTTTCTGCCATGATGCCTTGGGACATGTCTGAGGGACATGTTTTCCTGCCGTTTCTGAGAGCTCATCATTCTGGAAGGGCAGTGGCAAACCCTGCAGTAGGGAATGTCATTTTTGCTCATGTGGGTGCAGTGCGGACTGGAACAAGAGTATATGGAGCAAGTACCCTGTGCTGCCACGGAAACTTCTGACCTTCCACGAGGACCGATGGTATACATTTTTTGTTGTTGCAACCAAAGATAAATGTCTCAAAACCATGTCTGTTAGCTAAGAACATTGAGTGGAGCTGTGGCTTAAACCAGAGTACTTCCTTGCTGGAAGTTAAGAGAGAAGAGCAATAGCATAATGTCAAGCCAGCACCAAAGAAAAATGACGCAGTCACTGGATTGTGTGAGGGCTTTGGGATACTGCGACTGAGGAAATGGATTTTAAATTTTACTTAGTTCTAACTAATTTAAATAGAAAAACATACTCAATTCAATTATTGGAAAACTTTAAGTATGGTTGGAACAACCTGGGTATATGAATCTACTTTTTAAACTACAATTTATGAAATCTAAATATATATCAATTGTTTCTAATGAAAATTAGTGTTTAAATGGAGGTGTGCTGCAACTGTAAAATACACGCCGAATTTCAAAGACGTAGTACCAAAAAAATGTAAAATGTCTGGTTAACATTTTATATTGATTACATGTTGAAATGATAATATCTTGTATATATTGTGTTAAATAAAATATTAAAATTAATTTTACCTCTTTGTACTTAACGCGACTACTAGAAAATTTAAAGTTACAATACGGCTTGCATTATATTTCTATTGGGGAACGCCACTAAAGAAGGAGTCAGTGAGCAGGGGGATTCTCACTTTCTTTTAGAAACTAGGAGGAGAGGCCATTGCAGAAGTAAGTTCCAAGATCCCAGGCAAATTGCTGGCACCATTTCCTGGGTTTCTGAGAATCAATGGCAGAGGCACAAAACAGCACAGAACAGGGTGGGGTCGATTCCTTGCCTGCTTCCTTTCCATGTTCAGGCACAAACACACCATCCTGAAACTTCTGTCACTATCATTGCTTTGGTAGCATGAGACTGTAGTTGTTATCTGGGCTTTGATTTGGGGACAAGAGCGTTTTAACCACTAAGAGACTTCCGGAGAAGCTAGTGTCCATAAAGATATTCTTAAAACCAGTATGAACTTTATTTTCCGCTTCTGCTCTTTTAAAGTTCACCTTAGACTCAACATGTGGTAGAAACTCACCCTTCAAGCATTTGCTTTTCCTCACGTCTTTTCCTCCAGAGCGGCTTTGTTTTCAAAACGATTTGCACGCAGACTGCTGGCTTGGGATGCCGGAGGAAGCCTGGCCCGTCCGCGCCGGCCTGCGCAGCACATCTGGAAGTGGTTTCAGGCGCCGCCTCACTCCGCCAGCACAACGCCTGCATTCCCAGCTGCTTCCCCCAGGAGTGGAAGAAACCCGAGCTGCTCCAAAGTCAACGCAAGCAAAAGCCGGTACGAGTGGGGGTAGGAATACTCTCTTGGAAACGTAATATTGGCCTTGGGTTCTTCGGCCCTTTGGGTTTTCCAATGGGATCTTAGAAGCAGCTGCAGCAGCGTGGAGGGCAGCAGCCCCAGGCCAGCCACGATTTGAACACTCTGCCCTGCAGGTCTTCTGGACCAGGAACCCAAAGCTCACAAGGTAAACAGAAATTTACCAGCAGCTCAGCATGGAGCTTTTCCATTTTATTGTGCGGTAGTTTCTTATTTTGCTTTAGACTGAAGAAAGTAGATCAGAGGTAGACTGTTCCACACAGACTTTGCTTTCAGGAGCCCCAGCCAATGTTTGCAGCATTCCAATGGAACTTCACCACTCCCCTCCCCTCACCCCCCCCAATGGTAGCAAATCCAGGGTACTCAATGTTCAAGTTTTTCACATCCTGAACTGCTTTTCCAGACCTGGGCTTTTCCCTACCCATCCCAAATGGTGTGACTTATTATTTGCATCATATTTTAAGCATGAAAATCAGCGATTAGCTAGGACGCAGAAAAATGCTAGCTAGCCTTTAATGCAGGTACGTTTCTGAGCCACAAAAGATTTAACAGATCTGTGATTCATGTTTTCAGAATCTGTCCCAGGAAGCTGTTTGGAGGGCCCCAGTTCCTCCTCAAAGAACTGGCAACCGTGGAAATCTAAATGAGGCTTGTTGTAAAGACAGAGTCCAAGAGGACAAGAGCATAGTCAGAGGGGGTTGAAAATGACTTTTAACATTTTTTAAAAAAAGTCTTATGATCACTTTATTAGCAAGTGTAGTATATTGGATGAGCCTGATATAGCCTGTTAAATACCTTATGACATAAGTTAAGAAGGGATAGTTAATACAAGAGTAAACAAGAGAGAGAGAGGGGAAGAAACTATGATGATATTTAAACACCTGGCTGTGCTGTGGAGGGAAAAAAAATCAGTCCTCTAGCTGTTTGGTTGGCTCTGTGCAGATAAATGTCCAAAGTGACATTAGTTGGTTTGTTTTATCTTTTTCTCTAAATGCTTTGGTGTTGCATTTCTATACAGTATCCTTTTTGCGTTATGCAGTGAAGTTCCAGCCCCTCCATGCAATGCAGTTAGAAGCAGAGCAGTGCGATGCAGGGGTGAGAGCATGCGCTCTGGGGTCAGACTCCCAGAGCTGAATCTAGGCATGGCCACTTCCAAGCTTTATAAGCTTTGACTCTGGAGGAGTTATTTAACTTGTTTGTGACTCTGTTTTCTCATCTGTAAAATGGAAATGAAGTGACCTGTGTCTAAAGGATCTGCAGAGTAGCGAGGCCTCAGGGAAAGTTAGCTTCTCTGGTGGTGCTGATGATGAAGATGGTGATAATGAAAGTGACCACACATCCTGCATGGTGCAGCAGCCCCGCTTTTAACACATCATTCCCCCTGATAGTCCAGTCATCCAGGTGTTCTTCCTGTCCTCACATATTGCCTGTCCTGGGCCCTGCTTTCTTCCTTCCTCTCTTCAAATACCTCTCTGCTTTTTTTCCCTACTCTGGCTCTTTCTCTTTCTTCTTTGTTGTCCCTCTTTCCTTGCAGAGAGAAAGACATGCTCATTAAGCCATAGCCCTCATAGCTCTAGTTCCCAGGGAGCATTTTTCTAAAGACTTATTTTAGTTCAGCATTTGCCAAAAACTGTTCTAAAGATGACAGTCTCATGGGGAAAATGAGCTTTGTGAACCACGTCGCTTTCTCAGAAATCTCAAGGCATAATGACATTTTAAAGGTCCTGAGAAGTCCTGCAGTAGAGAAAGCTGCTTAAAGTTGTTTAACATAGTGGTTCCCAGTTAACCCCCAAACCATTTTATCACATAACATTTCTGGGAGCACACTCTGCAATATCCTATTGTGGCCACATCTGTTTTCATTTTAGTTCCTCTATGGACATCCTATTTCATATCTTCCCGGGTAAATACCCAAGGGGACATCTCGTTCTTGCTTCCCTAGTCAAGGACATAACATGGATCACGTGTGCCATATTGATATGTAGAAAATCTGTCTGGCCAAAGCAAAGAACAGGGATCAGCAAACTTCTTCTCCAAAGGGACAGTAAGTGAAATTGTACGCCGTACAGTCTCTGTTGCAAATACTCAGATCTATTATAGAGTGAAAACAGCTATAGACAAATGTCAAAGAATAAATCTGGCTATGTTCCAACAAAACTTTAGTTACAAAAATCAGTGATGGCAGGATTTGGCCTCGGAGCTGTAGTTTGTTGACACCTGGTCTAAAGCCATTTTGTGGACGAATACCACTCTCCACACAGGAGGAAGAGCCACACTGAAGGCTCCCTCACCTGACTCCGTGACCTGCGTATTTTGATGGATCTTGAGTAAACCTTTCCTGCCACAGCAAAAAGTAAGAAGGCCAGAGCGTTTTATTACAGGCCAAATTCCTACGTCCCAATTTCGTCCTCTTTCTTCAGGTAAACCCATTCTCTTGTCCTGCTCCCAACTCGGTAGCTTGCCTGGTATGAGCTGAAGTGCTCCAGTAAATGTGTTTTGTGCACGTGAGAACTTTAGGGTGCAAGTCTTACAGAGTGAAATTAAATCACAGAGATTATGACAGTTCCTTGATGCATAATGATAGCAGTCGGCAATGGAGGGCGGCCAGCTTCTAGTAGCTATTAAGGTGGTGAAGAATGTGGACTCGGAGCCAGACTTCCTGAGTGTGAATCGTGGTTCTGCCACTCATTAGCTGTGTCACTGTTGGCAGGTCTCTTAACCTTTCTGAACTTCAGTTCCCTCACTGGGGATAATAACTTTATAGGATTGTTGTGAGAACCAAATTAAGTAATATATATAAAGGTGTTAGGACCATGCCTGGCACATAGAAATTGTTATGTGTTTCTCCTTCTCCTTCTCCTTCTTCTCTTCTTCTTCTTCTTCTTCCTCTTCCTCTTCCTCTTCCTCTTCTTCCTCCTCCTCCTCCTCCCTTCTTCTTCATTATTATAATTATTATTATTATTATTATTATTAGTTATTTAATTTAATCTGCAGAACAGTCCCATTTTACAGATTGGGTTTTATAATTTGCCCAAAATTAGACAGCTAAGAAATGGGGTAGAACCAGAATTCAAAGTCAGTTCTGTCTAATGACAAACCTCATGGTATTTCCACTCAGGTACATGTGCTGCCAGATTTAAGTCATTCAGCAACACCTTTTCGGAGCTCCCTCTTTTAACTTCGCTTCCGATTCCCAGGTGCTTTCCAGTTCCTTCCTACCTGAACCCATGGCAGACAGGATTAATTAATCACAACAAGTTGGTTTATTTGTTTCCGATGGCTTTAGATTCCTTCCCAATTTAGCAATACCGAAAACCCTACCAACTGATCAGAGTTGGCATATATAATATAACCTTTTAGGGGCTCTGATTTTTAGAATATTTTTCTGAAGAATCCTTCCCACTTTTGCCTTTTCTTGCAACACAAAGGAAACACCCTTAGCCACTTCCAGGTCTAAAAAATATTTTGTCCAGATTTGGCCATAAGCCCCAACTCTGGCATCTGATAAAATAGTTCCCCATGTGAGGTCTTTAGTGGCTTATTTTTAAACTTAATGGCCTCTTGTCAGGTCTAGACCAATTTCCCAAGCGCTCCTTCCCTCCCTAGTCACTTGCCCCGGGACCTCAGCCTTCTTTCCTCCCACTTTGAAGCTGACACTATCTTGTGTCTTGATTCTCTGTCCAACACTGGCTGACAAGTGACTCTCTAGCTCCATCTTTCTTGCTGTCTGGCAAACAAGCCTACAGGCTCTTTAATGCTAAAGGCTTGACTATTATTACTCCAGGGAAACCACAACATAAGTCACTCAGCCTAGGAAAGCTTACAGAGATGCAGGGGACGTGGTTCTGGGGCTCCTTGTTGTGAAGGTAGTAGAAAGGCTGATAAGACAGTCTGGAATGAGACCATTGACAGTCCCCTCCTCCTGGCTTTCTTCCTTCGTGAAGGTATGCGGACCCCTTTCTTCCTCAGATTAAAGAACAGAACAAGAG